AACATAAACATAGTCATCGATTACTTTTTTCTAGACGTTTAATACAGATGAAAAATCAGTTGCATACGTGGTATATATGTATGTGTTACATATATACCTTGTTATTAATATATTATTATTTTTATCGATTTGTATTAAAAGTTAAGTTACATTTTTTTTTTTTATTAGAATTTAAAAAAATTAGTTATAAAAAAAATTGTTGTTTAATTTGATTATTGTAAATTTTCAGTAAGGGTTGAGCATGAGAAAATTTGTTTTTGTTGTATACTAGTCTTGAAGCGTTTTTTTGACGTAAGTAAGGTGGTTCTGATTTAGATTTGTGTGTACTGTTTCCAGTGGCGCCAATTGCATTTTTTGATCTTCGAGATAACTTCTTTACATGGAGCATTTATTCCAACATGGAGCATTTACTCCAAGCATTTATATGTTTACACTTATGTCAAATAAGGATGCTTTGCAAAAAATTGTGATGATTGGAGCTTGGGAACAAAAAAGCCCAAAAATTTTGCCCCCCCTGCCCCAAACGCAAGGACAACAAGTTGATGAAATATTTTTAGTTTTAATTTTTAACTAGACTTTGATTCATCAATAAATTTTAAGTTTCATAGTAAAATATTTTAGCGTTCAAAATTTATGACCATATAAAGTTTAAACTCCCTCAATTTGAGGGAGTTGCAGATTTTATATGTTCATTCTTTTTGAACGCTGAGAGATAATAGAGAGATATTTGTTGATTCTAGTGAAGTAGTATATACTTAGTTTTTTCTATATTGAGTGATAGTTTATTTGATTTAAACCATATATAAATTTTTTTTAATTTAAACATTTGTTTTTTCAAAGAGTTCTTTGATTGTCTTTGATGAGCAAAATAAGTTTGTATTGTTGGCAAACATTATAGTTTTAAAGATATTAGAGACATTTGGAAGATTGTTTATATAAATAAGAAACAAAAGAGGAGCAAAAATAGAACCTTGGGGTTCATTTTATTTAATTTGAGTTTTTCTATCTATAATAGCACACTATTAAGGTAGTTTTTAAACCATTTTAAAGCTTGGTTTTTTATAACATAGTTTTTTTATTTTTGTCAGTAAAATTTTATGGTTGATGACGTCAAATGACAAATCAATAAAGATCCTTAATGTAATTTTTTTTTTAAACGATTCACTTATCCTATTTGAGAGGTCAAGAATTGCATGCTCTGTTGAGTGTAGCTTTTGGAAACCATATTGACCTTTATTGATAATTTTGTTAGTTTTTAAATATTCATTTAACTTATTATAGATTATTCGTTCTAGAAGTTTTAAGAATACTGAAATAATTGAGTTTGATCTATGACTATTTAAAGAATTGGTTTTTCCTGATTTGTAAATTGGTACAATTTTAGAGATTTTTAGTTTATGAGGTACAATACCTGTTTTAACTGATGAATTAAATACTTGGTAAATTGAATTATCTATCTCCTCAAAAAATCTAACACTACTTTGCAAGAGATGCCGTTTATCCGTGGAGTCTTGATTTTGTGATCTAAAATATCTGTTTTTATTATTCCTAATTTTAGAGAAGTATCTTGTATTGAGTTTGTTAATATATTATCAACAGCAATAAATGGTTTCAAATTTACCCTGATAGGTTTTGTTGATAATGGGGAAAATATTAAGTTAAAACACGTCGTCAAAAAAATTTTTAGTAACTGCATGCTCGTTGTACATCAAAATATTTATGTTTATATCTCCAATAATGAATAACTTTTTATATTCTCTATTTTTGTAATTAAATGTTTCATATAATTTGAGAATTTACAAGTATTGCCATCAGGTGGTCTGTAGCATGTAGAAACTAGAAAGTTCTTTGACGCAATGCTAGTAACTTCCATCCTAAAGTCATTCCATGTATAATTCACAATTTCTCCGCTTCTTTTGCAAAATGATTTTTTTTAGAAAATATTTTATAGTTTAAAATTTGAAGGTCAGAGTTTGTTTCTACTGCCTCGTCAGACCGCCAAGTCTCTGTAAGGCAGAATGTAGTAAGAGATATAGAAACTTGGTAAAAATAAAGTTCAGAAAAAAATAACAAATTATATGAATAAATAATTATTAAAAAAATTAATTATAAACACTCAATTTTTTTTAAGCCGCGTTCTCTGCCTATTGGTGAAGACAATGTAACTGTTGTCAAACATCATCAGGGTATGGTATAGGGTATGAATAAAGAAAACTTTGATTAGGTATGAATATGTTGATGGTATGGAATGTAGTTGGTTTATGAGAACAAAAAATTTTGATAGCTCCCTTCGCACAGTTTATCTAAAAGCTAAATATCTATAGCGCTGCTCAGTGGCGGATTAAGACTTCTTAGGGCCAGGGGCTATTTTTGTTTTTGGAGGTCTTTTTATGCACCGGAGCCTAAAAACGACTTGAAACAGTAACAGCATGTGAAGGTTAAATTGAAGTTGACTTGTTGTTTGACTTAGAAGATGATTTATTTCTTCAGTTTATTTTTATATTATTTTTATATTTTATTTTTACATTATATATTATACAATGATACATTTTGGAAAACTCTTGATTTTTTTCCTTAGATATAAAATATATGATCAGTAAGTTTTTAAAATCACAATGATAAATTAAAGACATATTTATTGCTTCATAAGTTGCATTAGTATTTCTTTTTAATGTCCTTTTTTAAGTCCATTTAGTTATTTTGAGTTCTTCTTTTGAATTATATGCTAAATATAAATTTAAATAACATTAAATATAGATAGTAACACTTTATTTACAAGCCTATTCTAAAACTTAAATTATTATGTCGAAGTTATTTAATTACCAGGTAACTTTGGCCTTCGCGTTAATTCTATACAATCTAGGATTTAGTAAACACAGAAAACTGTGAAAACAAAAGCAGTTGTGACGAGTTATTAGAAGTCGTATAAATTTTTAAAGTTACAAAAATCAAAACAATAAAAATTTATTACAATTTTATTTCAAATATTTAAAGTATTTTTAGCTTATGATATTTATATGTTATAACATAACATTTACTTGCATATTTTTAGTTTTAATGTGTATGCAATTTAAAATTTACATTAATAAGTTGCTTGAAAAATGTATATATATATATATATATATATATATATATATATATATATATATATATATATATAACGTGTGCTCTTGTATCATTACTTTCAAAAACCATTGGGTTTTTTTAAAGTCTTATTAAAAACTTGCCAATCATGAGTAAACAGAAAGCAAGAAGACCATGATTTCTGTTAATAAAAATGCGTTATTTGAAACATTAGGGTGTTAATGTAACATGAACACCTTTATTTGGATGAACACCTTTTAACCGCAACATCTATTAAGTGTTAATGTATCGTGAACACCTATTTTTGCATCAATACCTTTTTACAGCCACACCTAATAGGTGCTTATATAGTATCGCGCGTCTAAAGCCTTTTTCTTCAACATTAACATCTTTTTCCGTAACAGTGTATAGAAACTCCAAAAGGTTAAGAAGTTTGCAATGTTGCATTACTGCTTGTAGCTCAGGATTATTTTTCTAGTCTATTGCAAGCTAATCAAACCTCTTCTAAGTTAACTTCCTCTCTACTTACAGTTATTGACTATAATACAGTCACTGATGAGGATAATCATAATAACAATGCTTTAAAAACTGTTGGCTTAGATCGATGGAACAATACAAATAATCGTACTGAAAGTACCGATGTTGTTGATGTCCACTCACAAGCTAGACAAGATGCTTCAATGAAAACCATTAATGCTCACACCTCAATTCCAAATGATGATTATACATTCATTTATACTTCTTCTTTAATGAAATCCGTCTTTAAATTGAAACTAAGATAGCTGAAAGACTCATTTTGTATTGAAAGCTAAACACCTGCAGTTATTAGAGACATACTATGTGGACCAAGCCACCATAGACTTAGTAATATTTTTAACGCTTTCACAAAAGATAATAAGGGACTATACTTTAGCCGAGCATGGTACAAAAAGAAACTGTTGAAAAGTTTACGAAAAACAAACCATCAAAAGGTTTCATAAAAATTGAAAAAAGTGTCTCCAATATTGAGAACAACTAATTTTTAAAAATTCACGAAAAATCTTTAAGGGGTCATTCGCAAATTATGTCACACAAAAAAAAAAAATTTTTAGACCCCTCCCCTTTGTCAAAAAGTATATATTTTCTTGTCACAGCTAGTCACAAAATCTGTGACCCCCCCCCCCCAAAAAAAAAAAAAAAAAGACACGACGTAACAAAACGGTTTTTCAAAGTTTGTGGCTTCAGAGAGAACATAAAAAAAAGGGAAGATTTTAAAATCTATTATAGATTTAGTTAAAAGACTTGTTCAGTTTTTAGAACTACTGATTGCAAATGCTTTGTAGTATCTCTTTAAATACTTGAAATGGTTGTTCTTTTATTTTTTAGAGTAAGCTGCTAAAACAAACTTTTCAATTATCTCAATATTTATGGTCTATATAACTAATGGCCTATATACTTATATTGGCATTATGAAGGTTAGAACTTATGTTGCAGCCAAATAAATAAATATACTTTTCCCGTAAAAAAAGCTATTATAGAGGTACTTAAATTTATTTTTACAAGATTTATAGTGAAGTTTTGTTTAAATTTCGTCAATTTAGTTTTTGAACTGAAAGAAACATTAAAAAAAAAAATTACACCAATATTTTTAATACAAGAGCTAAAATATTTTATTAAAATACATTTTTGTCGTCATAGTATTGATATACATACAAATACTTTTCTGTAAAAATAAATCTTCTATAAATATTTTTTTTCTTTTAAATGTATATCAATATATTGAAAATAAAAAAAAAAATAAAAAAAATTTTAATTCAAATATGCATATATATATATATATATATATATATATATATATATATATATATATATATATATATATATATATATATATATATATATATATATATATATATTAAAATTCTAAAGATGGAGCGATTTAAAAATTAAAATAAATCATATCAAAATGACAAAATACAACTCCTGTTTCTTCAATAATTTACATGATCTGATATATGCATAAACTTTTGTTGGAATAAAACCTAATCTTCAAAAACGCCAACGTATTCGTAATATCCAAGTACCATTTTTGTGGAGGAAAAATAAACCTTGTGAGTTTCCTGATAAATTATATATATAAAAGATATTAGATTTTAAAGTTACTTTAGAAATATTGAAATAATAATTAAAATATTAACTTTTATTAGAAAATAATTTACTTAATAAAACACAGACTATAGTCGCTTCGAATATTCTAAAGGATGACTAAAAACACAGGCTATAGTCGCTTCGAATATTCTAATGGGTGACTAAAAAACTTTGTTTTTCAACATGATGAAAAGGAAAAAGTTCTAAAATCCAGTTTAAAAATAAATTCATAAAAGAACTCAAAAGGTTTATAAGAAAAAATAATAACTTGTCAAACTTACAAACTTTACAAGTGTGCAACTATATTCGCTGAATTTAAGACAGCAAATAGATATTTATTGTTTGTTTGCAGAAACAAATCAAATCAATGAAAAACCGCCGGATGAAATTTATAACATTAATATAGTATAGAAAGCAGGTTACACATTTATAGGAGGGTGTTCAAGTATATACTCAGGTGGGGTAAAATAAATGATATGCATAAACATACATATATTAAGTCACTACCATGTTTAAGCCAATATTTGGCTCACTTTAGAATTTTGAGAAAAAGAAATTCAAGTGTCATTTTTATATGACATGTAGTTTAAAATTGTGTAAATACCAGGTTGCTAAATATTATTGGAAAAAAACTTAATTAAATAGTATTGCAAAAAACTAAATATTATTGGAAAAAACTTAACTTCTAATGGTGAAACTTAAATTCGAACGGTGAAGAAAATAATCAAAATTATATAATTCTACAAAACGTTATGGCGTTTTGACAACAGAATTCTTTATTTATGAACTTGTTGAAGAAACTAGGAACATTTGAAAATTTTTTATATCTTTCTTACCTTTCTCTGTCATAACTTTGTTATTTCTAATCACAGCTTGGTATTATTATACAGTAACAGCATGTCAAGGGCATTAGAGGGGCGTCTATAACATCCTTTATATATTTAAAAAATGTAGGTTTGTTGAAGAAAATATTAGTTTTAAATTAAAAAAAAAAATAAAATAAACTTTATTAATATTAATAAAACTAAATTTGTTTATTATAGAAGGCCACCATCAAATATGATTAGGATTGGACTGAGTGGGTAATGTCAGTTTTGTTTCAGATATTGATGGTTGATCCCTCCTACCCAATATCAATGCAATAACTTTGAATTTTTACATCTAAATACATAAATTTTAGTGTCTTAAAAAAAAGAAAGGTTTTTTAAATAACGTAAAGAGAGCATAAGAACGATCTTTTTCAAACCCATTTCCAATCTTGACTAGGGAAGTACAAAATTTATTAATTATATTTTTCAATTAACAATAATTATTTAAAACATAAATTTTAAATACAAAATAAAAAAATAAAAAAAATGCAAATCTCTTTTTAATTTTTTATCTTCAATTAGTTTATAAATCAAGCAATTCATTTAATAAACTATTTTACTAAAATTGAATAACCAATTCATATCATAACTAAAAAAAAAATGACAAATTATTAATATATAAGAAGTATAGAAAATAAGAAATATAAATACAAATATAAGAAGTGTAAAAATTTTATTTGTAAAAAACCTGAGATAAATTTTTTGATAATATTTATATTTAATTTTATCTAAATAATAAAGTTTTTATTTCCTTAAAAGAATCACGTAAACTTTAGGTTTACGATTTACGTGTGAGAGAAAATCCTTACTGATTAATTTTGCCTAATTATAATGTTCATTGTACAGGTTTAATATCCCATGTGGCTTGCACATGAAAGGCCTGGTCATTATAAAAATGCTTTAAGACTTATTTATAAAACAATAGAACTGGTTAAAAGTCAAAAAGAAAATACACGAAAAAATTAATTTAAAACCAGCAAAGAAATTCTTACAGCTTCAAACCAAAGACGTTTTCAACACTATGCTACAAAATGATGAAAAACATTTAAATAAATAAGCTAAAGGGCTAATTCTGCTCATAAGAAACTAAAAAAAAAAAAAACTTAAATCCAACCAAAAATGTAAGTAAAAGCAATTATGCTTAATAAAAGCATTTTTTAAACTGACATTATTCTTCTGACTACTTTTCTCCTTTCATTTTATTAGAGAATAGTTTAAATACTTTTTAAAAACCTATTGTTCTGAAGGTCCGTAAAACTTGTAATAATGCAAAGAAAGTTTAATATAAGTTAAAATAAGTCAAGTTAAATAACACAGCTTCATCTTTGTTAAATACTATAACAAAGAAGAAAATAGGTTTATTTAAAAGTAATCTAACTTGATACTTACAGCAACCAAAAAAAATATATATATATTTTTATTTTTTTTTGTACTCTTAAAACAGTTGCCTTTTTTAACAAAAAATTCTTATGAAATTATTGACAATAACCACAGTTTATGATAACAAAAGTCAAGCAAAAAAAACAAACATAAAGTTAGCAAAAAATAAGATGGAAAAGACTTCCTGCCTGATTTTCTTTTTTTGCTTGAGCCTTTAAACTTTAAATTTTAAATTTAATATTAAATTGCTAACACCAAAAGCTTTGTGTCCCCAATAGAGTAATTACTATTTTCATTTAAAATTTTGTTTCATTTTAATGCAGAAGGAATGGGAGGATGGAATTCAGAATAGATTAGGTCATAAAGTTTACACCCCACTCCATAAAGTTAATATATTGTAGTAATTAAAACATAATCTGTGCAAATAATATTAAAGATTTCATCAATAACTTTTAATAAAGTTTTTATTGATGAAAATTTTTTTATATAAATATTAAAAATGTAAGAAAAATAAATTATATTAAAAGAGCATAATTATATACTAAAAACTTGAAAATTAAAAAACTGGGTTTAGTATGAAGAACAAAACTCAAAAACAGTCAATATGATTTGAAAAAATAATTTTGGTAGTGGCTTAATATATCTAATGAAAACTTCAGTATAAAGTAATTAAAAACAAAACAAAAAATTAACATATTTTTACCTAACCATTTATTTGGTCCTAATGTGTAAATTTGAATAAAATCTCCTTCCAAATTTTTTCGCATTGATGGATCAATAAAATTGGATGCTGTGTCAGTAAATTGTTGCTTGGTTATTGATAACCATTTTTTATAGATGTTGTGAAAAATCATATATGTTTTTTGATTACGATGAATTGCATACAGTTCATTGGTTAATAAGTGGTGACCAAGAACTGAACCAACCCGTACATCTAGCTCTAAAATAAGTACCTTAACTTAAGCAAATTAAGCATCAAACTTAAGCAATTTAGGTAATATAATTTTTATTTAAAGATTATGTTTATAAATGCATAAAATATTCCTATAGTTTAACAAGATAACTTTATAGAATATTAGTATTACGGAAGAACCCCATCAATTTGGACTCTCAAGGGGATTGTACCTAGTATTCAATTATTATCTTATTGAATGCCTCAATTAAAAAGCTCTTAGTATGCCAACTTATAAAGATTTCAAGAATTATTAAACGTTGTTCTATATTTAAAATTTTATGTACATATATATAGAACTACAGAGCCTTGTGTGAAATATGATTTAGCATATAATACTATAAACAAAAAATATCAGAAACTTATGTTTGTTTCAGTGACTCAAAGAAATCTTTTTCAAACAGCTTTGAAACATTTAAACCTACAGTTCCAGTTTCACCACTCTGAGTAGATATTGAAAATATCTAATAACAATGGCATTGTTGGTTCATCAGTTACTTCATTTCTTCTTCTTTTTCTTTCTCTTGTATTTCATCACCAACTACCTTTTTTTTGCAGAAGCGGTTAATAATAGTGAGTACTTAAACTTCTTTCTAAGAATGAACAAGCATTTTATGGCATGATGTGGCATCATGTATAGAGATTGAGGACATTTTTTTTTGTTAATAATAGCAGTTATGATCGGGTTAATTAAATGAGTTTGGTACTTGCACTTTAACTATCCATGACTCCTTGATCCATAGATTGCAAACAAGAAGTTGTAATTGGGAGAAGAAAGTGATATTGATTTAAGATCAATACTCAATATTTGTATAGGTGATGCAATTATCAATAACCAGCACTACCTTTAAAACTTGCTGTCACATTCTATGACTTACTCTTTAAATAGTTTAAGTCCACCCTATGACTTACTCTTTAAATAGTTTAAGTCCATTCTATGACTTACTCTTTAAATAGTTTAAGTCCACCCAGATCTTTTTTGAGCATGTAGTGCTTCTAACTCAATTACAACAACAGTTTGTTTGATTTCATCATAACAAAAATTGATAGTTTTCTGCACAAGCGGTAGCTGCAGCAAGTTCTGTTTGGCAAATGCAATCTTTAAATTCTTGCTCATTTCATTTCTCATCTTTTAAGTGTATACTTTTTTTTGTAAAACAAGCCATACTTAACGTCATTAAATATTTCACAAGTGAGGTAGACAGTATTGTTGAAAAATTGGTTTTTCTCCAAGAAGCTTTTATTTTATTGGTAACATTTTGACCTTCACCTAAGCAAAAGTAGAAAAGTAATTTTAATATCAGCAGAAAATTTATTTGCTGTTGTTTTAGGGTTTTGTATAATATGTATGTATCAATATGGTAACATACCTGATATAGTTTTAAATGAAACTTTTCTTTTTTCAACTTATCTAACCACCCATCAGATACTTGAAAGTTTGTACAACTAAGTTCTTTTACAAAATGTTTAAAATGCCTCTGTGTCAGGCCTTTAAAAGACACATATAAAATACTTTAATTTAATCTTTATTAAAGGAGACTCGCTCTTTTTGCAGATTTTTTAATTTTTTTTTCAACTTTTATATATATTCTTTTTTTTCCTTTATCCATCCAAACAATGTTTGCTTTAGGAAGCCATACTTCTTTACAACAGATAAAGAGAATTTTCTAAAATTTCTTTTAGCATTTTGTATTTTTCTGCTATTAGTTCTTTTAACATTTAATTTATTCAAAGGTTAACCAAATTAAAGTTATCTGTGAAAATGTTTAGTTTGCAAAATTATATATTTTATATTTAATGAAATTTTTATTTTTATTTTTTTATTTCATTAAAAAAAAATAAAATAAATAGTTAAAAAATTAGTAGCTTTGAAAAGGAAAATTATTAAAATTAATAACACAAAAAATATAAAAATTACCTGATAGTAAGTAATAAAATTGTAGCTAATTATAAAGATAATATTTAAGAAAAATATTCACAATTTTTTATGCAGTAACAAGGTAAAAGCTAAAAAATATATTTACTGAAAAAACCATTTCTTAGGTACCATTATTTAAGGTTGAATGAAGAATTTAGACATACATGACATTCTATGAAAATTTGTAACTTAAAATGTTTTAATTTAAAAGATTAGGTTAGTTTTATATAGGTTTTGACAAATCCAACTCTAATTTACCAAAATAAAATTGAACTTACCATACCACAAACTTCCTTCATTGTTTGAAACATAGCATGCTACTTTTGTACTAAAGTAAAAAAATATATTTATTAAATAATAACTAGCTCCCATCATTCCCCGCAATATTTTTGATTTTTGAAGGTCTTCATTCAATTTTGATATAAATGTATATATATATATATATATATATATATATATATATATATATATATATATATATATATATATATATATATATATATATATATATATATATATATATATGTATATGAGCAATTCCACAGCGGAAAATGAAAAAATAGTCAAAATTATACTTTTTGTTAACTTTTAGCAAATGAATATTAATCTAGACACATGAAAACTAAAATTACTTAAATTAAGTCATTTTTATGCTTTCGAAAGTTAGAGTTTTTCTAAATGTTGCATGATAAAAAAAGTATCATTGTAAAATGTTAATTTAACCATGAATTTATTTGCATAATCCAAATTAATTTAACGCAAAAATGGAGCCAACGTGTTTAAATTGTTGTTGGTCAGTTTTTATACTTTATTTATAATATATATATAAGTCAAGAAATAATGATGGAACTTTTGCAATTTTTATGTAACGTAAGTTAACAAAAACATGATAAAGTTTTTTTTTTTTTAATTTAGTTAAAAAACTTAAATTTTTTAATAATATGTGCGAAACATTTTACTAAAAAAAAATAATTAACTAAATAATGCTTATTTAGTTAAAATTTTTGTTTTAGGAAAGCAAATCCTTTGTAAATACAATTAATGGTGTCATCCATAAAGTACGTCACCCTATATTTGTCAATTTTTAACCCCTTCCCTTCTGTAATGAATGATCACATATACCTAAACCCCCTTTCCCTTCTAAACTGTGCAGCAGCTTTTATGTGAAAAGTATTTCAAAAGATTTAAATTTTTTATATTTTGCAGGATTTTAAAAATTCAACCTAATGAAAATAAGGCAATATGCATAAACATAAGAAGGGTAAGTAAAAACTTCAACAACATTTCAACAAAGATTTTCTTATTAAAATGACTTAATAAGAATTAATAAAGTGGTCATCTTTTAACGTTGCTCTTGGTCTTGAGAAAAAAATTATCGATTTAATAACTTTCATAAATGTGATGAAAAATCACTCAGGAAGAGAAGAGTGCCATCAGTTTTTTAAAATTGGCTTTGTTAATTACTTTTATTGAATGAGTTCAATACTTTTGCAATTCTTTTGTTATGTAACTCTATAAAATCTAACTCCCAATAAAAGATATAAAAAATCCACGATAGTAATTGCTCGGTATGTAAGTGATGTAATGTAAGTTAAATATATAGTATCAAAAAAAAAACAAGTTTATTTTCCTTAGCTGGTCATCTCTGAAAAATTTTTATATATTCTTTATATTAATATCGAATTCTCAACATCTTGTGAAAGTTTCCAATACAAACCTCTTTACTGATTTGCAGAAATCTGACTTAAAAGTTGAAGTAATTTTTTTTACAATGTTTTCTATGTAAAGTGACATTTTCAATAATAAAACTCAAAACGTTTTAGCTTATTTTATTCTTTAAACAAACAGCTTTCATACAATACAGCTAAAAATTTAATTTACAGTTTAAATAAGCAAACATTTGATAAAGCTATTGCTGTGTGCAATGTATGTCCATAGCTATTCAAATGTCCATACTTTTCAATATATCAAAGATTTACTTATTGTTGGGAGAAAAACTGAAAACAAATTCTACCTAAATTATATTATTTTTCTATTTAAGTTTACATAAAAAAAAAAATCCCATTAGAATATTTTATTATTTACTTGCCTAATCATCATAAATCACCCTTACCAATAATAACTGCTTTACATATTCTTGGCATTTGATTTAACAACTTATTCAATATGCAAATTTTATGCCACTCACTAATAAGTTTTTTCCGCGGCATTTGCAACATTTGGCATTTTTTTAGTTATTTTTGAGAATCTTTTAATTCATGCTACATCAAATAAAGATATGACGAGGGAGGGGGGTGGGGTGGTCAAATCAATCTATTCAATATTTGATCATTCTTTGAACTCAATTTTTTGAACTTAATTAAACAACTTCTAAAATGTTTTAAAGCCTATGTCTTGAAATTAAGCTTTGGATTGCTTTTTTCTAAAAAACAAAGAATGGCTTCTTCCCATCAACCAGACTTCTCAGAGGGATAGATAGCATTACTTTTGAAAAAATTTTCAAAAGTAATGCTATCCCAAATAAACTACTTTTATCATTATTCTCTATGTAACCTATGGATTTCCAACCAAAACAGTCCCGCACCTTAACAATATATTTACCATGTTTCACAGTCAATAACACACCCTGTTTTATCATGCATTTAAAATTTTTTCTTCGGACAAATAAACTTCTCCTGAAACCAAAGATTTAAAACTTTGACATGTTGGTCCACATTTCCATTCATTGATAGTAAGAGATTGCGGTAGTGAGAAAAATTGGTATCATATTCTGGTCCATATTAATAACCAGTTACTACCAAAGTTACGATATTGAAATTGAAAGTAAGTTTTTTAAATATCAACACTTTCAAAAGTTCGGTATTGAATGGTATCTTTTGATAGTGTAAACTTAAATTATTGCCACTATCAAAAGAACCAAACACCTCCTTTTGGTTAGCCTGCTTAAAAAGAACTTGCTATTTATTATGAAATTTCCTTGATTTTTTCTTAAGCGCTGGTGACTTTGCATTTAATCGAATTATGGAGGTCATCCTTGGTGCATAAGAAAACTAACATTTTATATAGAAATTAGTTACTATATTGCTTGTGGGTTTGTTTTTAAAAGTAATCATTTTCAAAATAGGCTCAGATTGCTTGTGGATTTGTAATTTTATTTTCATAAAAGTTAAAACAGGGTTGTTCATTTTTATATGCGCGCCTATTCATTTTTGTATGCGTGTTTATTCATTCTTATATGCGCCTTTATTCATTCTTATATGCGTGTTTATTCATTCTTATATGCGCATTTATTCATTCTTATATGCGCATTTATTCATTCTTATATGCCCGTTTATAAGAGGGTCAACCACCCACAAAATCTCAAATATAATTTAATATAAACAATAAACACGCTTTTTATATAGATATTTTTTAAATATAACTTAAATTGTTTTCATTGTTATTTATTTAAGAAATGGTTGCCAAGCCAGCGCTGGATTTATGTAACTACGCATATGGTTGTAAAATGGAACTAAATTAAACTCTGTAGTATCCATAATATTTTTAAGTTTCCTGATTACCCTATTAATATTTCGAGGCCTTTTTCCCCGTTTGTAAGTATGTTTTAAAGAAGAAAAAAATTCTTCTATTAGATTAAGCTGTGGCATGTATGCTGGCAGATACTTAAAAACTATACCATGACAGGCTAGTGTTTTGTTAACAGAAAGACTCCAGTGGAATTTACAACTGTCTATAACAAGCACCGGCGCTTCCACATTTGCATTCCTAATCACTGGTGTCATCATTGTAGTTATGAAAGTACAAAATGAATCAGTATTCCAGCCTCCAGTTTTTGTTTCATAAGCAAGCACTCCCATTGTTGAAACAGCACAAATTAAACTAACATTCTTATCATGATTTGTAGGTGACTGTAAAATTGCTGGCATATCTCTTAGCAAATAACCAAATGTGCTGTTAGTGTGCACATTAAATCCAGTTTCATCCAAATAAATAAGTTTTTCATCTGAAATTCCGTTTATTTCGCTTGCAAATGCATAATGTGCATTAATAACTTGTGTTGAGTTTCGTACTTCGGCACATGCACAACACGTTTTCTTGATAAATCTGAGCGTTTGAGTTTTCTTGAAATAGTAGACTGAGACATGTTGAAGCCTGCTGCAGAATGATATTTTTTTATTGCTTCTTGCGTGCAAAGATTGTTTTCTTGTACGCATAATTCAATAATATTTTTTATTTGAGAGTTTATAGGTCTTTTACCTTGTTTTTTATCAGAAAACAACTTGAATGCAGTAATGTCATCGAATTATCCTCTGTTTAACTTAACAACAAGATTTTGAACTGTGCGCTTTGATAAATTAAGAGAGGTGGAAATGCTTGTTGTAGATTGATTTCTTTTAATTAAATGCATAAGCATTTCAATGTGCTCTTTTGTAACATTTTTCCTTATTTTACGATTGGTACTGCTATTTTCTATTCCATTCATAGGGCAGTAGCGCCGCTAAGGGGGTGTGGGGGTGCAGGCCACACCGGGTGACACCATCACAGCTTGATACAGAGAGGAGACACCAAAATGAAAAAAAAATTACACAATTAGAAATTTTTCATTTTGGTGTCACCCCTAACTCTGTCTCAGACAGTCGAGCTCGCAGACAGTAGAGTTTGCCAAGCTCAGCTTGGTCTAGTCGAAACTGTCTGGTTTCATAACCGCTTGTTTTTATATACACGAAAAGGCACATGGTGCCTTTAAGCAATTAAGCAATTATTGGAATCGGATTATGTATATGGTCTAGTACAGGGAAACTCTGAAGTGATCCATAGTGAAAGTCTAGAGGGGTGACACCCTGAGTTCACCGCACGGGTGACACCAACCTCAATAACGCCACTGCCATAGAGATGTATAATTTGATATAAATGATAACTATAAATAATTAAATTTAAATCTAGATAAATGACTAATTAGATAAATAACAACTTAATCAATCAAGAAATTTAATAATAAAATTACAAAGAATTAATACTAAATTAAATAAACCATCATCACAAACAAAGAACTAATACTAAATTAAATAAACCATCATCAAGTGTAAATAATCTTCATTTTAAGTATTTTTAACCTCGTTAACCAGGAAATAAGAAAAATTTGTTTTGAAAAAATAAACTGTTTTTTCAAAACAAATTGCTTAAATGATTTTTTTTTTGTTCAAATTGCTTTTATATATAGCATAAACATTTTCTCAAAAATATAATCTTTTTTGTACTAAAAAGTAGAAAATAAAATTTTAAATTTAAATTTAATAGTTTAGTAAACTAAAGATCAACAGGTATGTT